ACTGGTAGAGATGAGGCCAGCCAGCAGGAGACAGAAATGTTGCTATGGAGGGCAAGACCGTAACACGACTGATGTCAGCTGCTCCACCTCGGGGGAAAGAGAGAGAGTTGAGAACAGCCAGAGAGCAGGAGCATTGCTTGACTTCAACCTGAGCTTCGCCCTCGCGTTGGCAGAGCGAGGGGGCACGGGGAAGCCGAGGTGACGTCACACACACTTCTGGGGCTCGGCAGGATTTTGGCAGCCTGAGTCTCCGGAGGCTGGCACTAGCCAAGGAACGATCACAGCCTGGTCTGAGCAGCCTTCCGAGGTGGGGCGCTGCTCAGAGATGTGCAGGGAGCACCCCTCAAGGGTGGGGGTGCCAGGCCTACAGCCCGCTAGCTGGAGGGCGAGGTTCTGAGAATGGGGGCTGGGTGGCAACGGCCGGTCTGCCAGACCCCACTGAGTGACAGGGCAGCCATTCGGTGGGCGCTGCACCCACGTCGGGCGGGCCAGCGGGAGAGCCTGGGCCTGCCTTGCGGACACAGGAAGAGGAATCGCCGGCTGCTCCTCCTGTAGCCCACATCAGGAGGGTGCCTGCTGGCAGGCATCCCTAGCCCACACCCTGCGGGGGACCACGGAGAAGGGGCAAGAACGGACCGGCGGTAGGCCGGGGAAGTGGTGCACAGCTTACGGACTGGCAAGCCAGGGCCACCTGCCACTGCAGCAGGACCATGCAGGGGAAAGAGACTCTATGAAGAATCAACATGCCAACATTAACCCTACCAGCCATTTCCCCTACCAGTGCTTCTCCCGGGCCTTTCTACCGGGGTGGCAGGAGGAGGAGCAGGAAATAGAAAGGTGGGTTGAGACACTGGTGTATGAAGAGGTCCCCAGTCAGCCTCACACTTAGTTCCACACCCTCAGGGCTGGATGCCTCACAATCGGAAGAAGGCAGATAGTGTTGCCTAGTGGATAGAGCACAGTTTTGCCTCTAAGGTCAGCGTTCTACCCTGGCTCTGTCACTGGCCAGCCAGATGATCTTGGGCAAGTCATTTTAATCTGTGCCTCAGTTTCTCCATCTGTAAGATAGCAGCTACAATCCTTACCTCCTTTGTCAAGGATGGAGATCAATGGATGAAAAGCACTGTATAAAGAATTAGGTACTGGTAACAGCCCCAGACACTGTTATACGGGTTCTAAGCACTAGGAGGGTATTAAAACAGGGCTGAAAATTGAGATGAAACATGGGTCGCTGTCAGCACTGGACTGCCTCCCCCCCCCAGCCCAAAGTCAGCATGTTATGAGAATATAGTTTTTCCCCCCAGAGTCCTAAGTGAATAGCCCCTCAGAGATGGATGCCCCAGTCCGACACTCGGGCTCTCTGTGTGATGCTGCACACAAATTTTGAGGGTTCCAGCCACCTTCTCTTTCAGGCAAACGGGAGTGGGGCCCCGAGTCTCTGGGCACCAACGTGGAGAACTCTTGTTTTCATAGACTCAGAAACCTGAGAGGGCCTCAGGGCCAGCCCCCTGCCCTCCCTCGCGGTGCAGGGAAGCCCTGGCTTACCCTACTACGGCGGGAGCCTGGGGTGCGGAGAGAACTCTGCAAGCTAAGCGGGATCGCCGAAGGAATCCCCGCGGGCAGGATTACCTGCGTTGATCACAGGAAAGATGACGTCCCCGTTTCGCTGTTTAGTTGTCAGTCGGTCCAGTTTCTGCTCTTCGTAGCGTTTTTTCCCTTCCTCCTCCAGCTCCTCCCCAGCGTACTGAAGGGAAAGAACAGGCACAGGTCACACTGGGCACTGCTTGGCTAAAGGACAAGTCATGCGCCACAGGAAAGGCCAGGACGGGTGACCAGGGAGCCCCAGCTGCACAAGTCCTGCCCCCTAATATGTCACCCGATGCTGAGACCCCATGGCTGCCCCAGCATCACGATCAAACCAAAGTCTGCCCAGTGGCAACTAGTGCAGGGCTGAGCACCGCCAGTCACTCCCGCTGCTACGCGGAACCTCTTGTTCGCCAGCCACGTCCTTGCTGCCTCCGGAGCGCTAACAGGGGAACGTGTCAGAGGCCTGCATGGCAGCAGCCACTTCAGTCCGCAGTAGGGATGCTAATTGCGAGTAACTGACTAACTGAACAGTCAATGTATTTTGCATCGACTATTCGATTAGGGTGCCTCCGCCTCCGCAGCGCAGCAGCAGTCCTAGGGCTGTTTCGATTCCTCAAAGGCAAAAGCACCTTGTGGAGCTCGGGATCAGCTGGGGACTCGCCCTTGCATGGCAGCAGCCACTTCAGTCCGCAGTAGGGATGCTAATTGCGAGTAACTGACTAACTGAACAGTCAATGTATTTTGCATCGACTATTCGATTAGGGTGCCTCCGCCTCCGCAGCGCAGCAGCAGTCCTAGGGCTGTTTCGATTCCTCAAAGGCAAAAGCACCTTGTGGAGCTCGGGATCAGCTGGGGACTCGCCCTCCGACCCCGGGCTTTGTGTGGCGCTGCCGCTTTAAAACGCCGTGGGGAGCCCAGCGTCCAGCTCCACGCAGAGTTTCAAAGCAGCAGCGCCGCATGGAGCCCAGAGTCAGCGGGGGAGTCCCCAGCTGATCCTGGGCTCCATGCAGCACTGCCACTTTGAAACACCGCGAGGAGCCTGGGGACACCCAGCTGGCCCTGGGCAGTGCTACCACTTTGAAGCGTTCCCTCTTCCTCCCTCCCCACCCAGCTGCCTCTGATAGAGGCAGCAAGAGGGGAGCAACTAGTCAGTCGACTAGTCCTTCGCATCCCTAGTCCTCAGCCCGAGGCACATTTTGTTCACCCAACCCAGTCCCCCACTAGTGCACAGACACCTCGCTGGGCCCTAGCTTGCTGGACCCCCTGGTCTCACTTGGGGACATGCCACTTTGCTCCTTTTTCCACAGAGGAAAAGGAAGCCCCGGCTGGTGGACCTGTAGCCAGACCACAAATTCATTTCTGTAGGTGATGTTATCTTGTCGACAGAGCAATGCAGCTCTCACTAGTGTAACACACCGACTTTGGCCAAATCCCTGCTCTCTGCATAGCACTGGCATTAGGGAGGAGAAAGTTTAACTGGTTAATCAGTATGCAGCACCTTTCACGGCTGAGGCTTACCAGTTCCGGTTAAACTGGTGCGGGCACACTGCACGCAGGGGGCTGCTCCAGCCCCAAGGAGCCCTCCCTGGGGGGGGGAGGGGCCTCCGACAAGCTAGAGGACCCCCCCCCCGAAATCATCTCATTTAATCTGTTTACTGATTAAACATTCGGCTTAACCAGCTAAGCAATTAAACGGGATTTCACATCCCTAACGGCATAACTATAGCAGATCTCACCTACGGCTCTACACCTTGTATACATTCGAACCAATTTTGTTCAACCTCTCTTAGCAGCATCTAGCTGCACACAGCGAGACAAGGGTCCGTCGGGAACCATTCACTGTTACATGATGAAATTCTCAAGTCTTTTGCGGCTGACATTTCATTCCAAACTTGAAAGAATAAATCTTAACTAGAGACCTGTCCAGCACAGCTGCTTCCAACTCTTCCCAAATCCCTCGAGCTACATTCAAGCGTTTTCCTCACGGCATTTTTTTCAGAACTGGAACTTGAAAATCTGCTTCAGACTGGGCAGACGGAGCAGCACTTTCCAAAGGCATTATGTGGGGGAGGCGTCAGCACACAAGCCCTGTTTGAAATTTGTGTTGTGAGAGAGGCACAATGTGCGGATAAAGGGCTCAGACCTGTACAAGATTAAATTAAACAGCCCTTGAAGAGCTTACAGTTTACAAACAGGCTCACAGCATCCAGCACACTGGCTGGGGGTAGAAAGAGAAGACAAATATCCACAATTTCCATTACAACTAATCCCTATTGCAACAAGAAGCCACCCACCTTGTTCTGCAGGCTTTTCCCAACATGCATGGGAAAGGCAGAACAGTCTGCAATGAACACTACAGGCTGAACCACTCTAGTCCAGCTCTGAGCCAGCAACATCCATGGTCTGGCATGATGTTAGTTAGCCAGGCGCCCATTTATCATTGGGTGTGGCCAAGTTTCCCGTGGTCCCACAAAGTTTGTTTACAGTCACCAGTCCTGGCTCTGTGTTCTGGCAGTTTGAAAAGTGTGAATTGGGAGTTCTGTGTTCCAGGTGGTCTTTCAGTGGCTGATTGGATTGGAGGCAAGGCTTTGAGATGGGCCTAGCCTCAGCCTTAGAAAAAGGCAGCCAGAGGGAACGCAGTGAGCAGCCAACAGGGGAGTTTGCCTGGGAGTGCGCCCTGGGCAGAGCCCCATAATGTTTGGTGTTTTTTCCTTGAATTTTGTTTCTCCCCTGTCCTTCAGGGGGGCAATAAAAACATCTGAGGAATCTCTCCAAAAGAAGGCAGGTATGGATAGTGATAGGTCTGCTGTTGTTGTTTGTCTTCCTCCCGGAAGATAGAAGGGATTTCATCTGTACTAAGTGCAAGCTGGTCGCCATTTTGGAAGAAAAAATTAGAGGACTTGAGGCCCAAGTGTCAACCCTATGTTGCATCAGAGAAGATGAAGACTTCCTCGACAGAAGGCAGCATTTAATCCTGCAGGCACAAGAGTCGGTGAGGGCAGTACAGAACAAGGAAGAAAACTGACAGCATGTAATCACCAGGAGAAGGAAGCCAACTCAGGCATCCCCCGTTCCTGTAGAAGTAACCAACCACTTTCAGGGTCTCTGCACAGGCACTGCGATAGAGAATGCTTTGGCAGGGATCTCTCAGGAAAGAAATCAGAAGGAGACACCATCTACTGGAAGACATGGGATGCGTAGTCCTAAGGATGGGGGTTCCATGACCACCACCCCCAAGAGAAGATGACAGGTGGTGGTGGTCGGGGACTCCCTCCTAGGAAGGATAGAGTCATCCATCTGCCGACCAGACCTGGAATCTCGAGAAGTGTGCTGCTTACCAGGAGCTAGCATTCAGGAAGTGACCGAGAGTCTTCCAAAATGGATCAAACCTTCGGATTGCCACCCCTTCCTGCTTCTCCATGTAGGAACTAATGATATGGCCAAGAATGACCTTGAGCAGGCCACTGAAGATTACGTAGCACTGGGAAGAAGGATCAAGGGCTTTGAAGTGCAAGTAGTGTTCTCATCCATCTTCCCTGGTGAAGGAAAAGGTCTAGGTAGGGATCGTCGAATCGAGGAAGTAAATGCAGGGTTGAGCAGGTGGTGTCGGAGATTAGTGGATGAGAAGCTGTATAGGAGTCAACAGTGGGCCCTTGTAGCCAAGAAGGCGAATGGCATATTAGGGTGCGTTGGGAGGAGCATTGCCAACAGATCTAGAGTAGTGATTATTCCCCTTTATTCGGCACTGGTGAGGCCACATCTGGAGTACTGCCTCCACTTCTGGCCCCTGCCCCTCACTATAGAAAGGATGTGGATGCATTGGAGAGGGTCCAGCGGAGGGCAACGAAAATGATTAGGGGACTGGAGCACATGACCTAGGAGGAGAGGCTGAGGGATTTGGGCTTATTTAGTCTGCAGAAGCAAAGAGTGAGGGGGCATTTGAGAGCAGCCTTCAAATTCCTGAAGGGAGATTCCAAAGAGGACGGAGAGAGGCTGGTCTCACTGGTGACAGATGCAGAACAAGGAGCAATGGTCTCAAGTTGCAGTGGGGGAGGCCTAGGTTGGATATTAGGAAAAACTATTTCCCGAGGAGGGTGGGGAAGCACTGGGCTGGGTTCCCTAGGGAGGGGGTGGAATCTCCATCCCTAGAGGTGTTTAAGTCCCAGCTGGACAAAGCCCTGGCTGGGATGACTGAGTTGGGGTTGGTCCTGCTTTGGGCAGGGGGTTGGACTCGATGACTTGTGTGGTCTCTTCCAGCCCTGAGATTCTGGATTCTGTGCTGTTATCTAGCTCTAATCTACCCCTTCTCAGAGCCCAGCGAGCAGTGGCAATGGTGGTGATGCTGCTAGACAATATTGACCACCTGTGATCTGACAAATTCTCTGGTTTGGCACCAGTCAGGCCCCGAGGGTGCCGGAGTAGAGAGGTTCCACCTGTAGCTCAAGAGGAAGTGGGATGCGCTGGTGGAGTTTTGACTGACAGTACCTGCAGGGAAGGACACAGCTATCAACCAGAACCTCAGGGGTGGCTTTCCACTAATGACAATATTGCAAAACACCTTCTCTTTGCTGCAGCCAGGCAGCGGCAGCCTGCTAAGCTTTCCTTCCTTTTGAGCATTTAACTGTCAACTCTAAACCCTGAAGTACAATTTCTCGGGCTCTCGTTTGATAGACTCCCAGCTGCTCTTTGCACCAGGCCACTGGTGGGCGTCTGAAATCGATATTCCATGGGACAGCAGCCTGGAGATGGGCTTAAACTGACTAGTTCCTGGTACAGTGGCTGCACTGCTGATAAACACAAGAGCGATCCTTTCTGGGTGGAGCAAGGCTGCCTGGTCAGTTTGCTAAAGCCCCATTCCCCGGTGGGGGACACAATACGTCAGATCGCAAGAGATCACTGCTGCAAGCTGACTGCACATTGCTTTTCCGCACTGGAATGGGCGCAGGAACGCGGCCTCTTTCCGGTGGGCTCCTCTGCTTGGCATCTTGGGCGCCAGGAGGCAAAGCTGGAGCCACACAACGGATCCTTCAGTAGCTCCTGACACCAAGGAAAGAGACAGGCCAACTGTTTTAGTGCAAGGGCGCCAGGTGGGTTACTCCTCTCCCAGAGCAGAGCCAGCACTGCCACGGGGCCTCACTCACACTGCTGGCTGCTCCT